GATATCATTTGAACCTAAATGTATAATTATGAAATCTGGCAGAGGAAATTTTGATTTACAAAAAGAGACAGTATCCAATAAACTTTCCCACTTCATGCCCCTTATTCCATGCCAAAAAATGCTCAATTTTGTCTTTTCAAATTCAAGATTTTCTATACCAATGTCAATTGCTATTGGAAAGGGTATTTTTGAAACTGTTAATCCTGGAAATTTTACTTTTAAAAATTTTTCACCTAGAAAAAGATCTTCTTGAAAAACAGATCTCTGACAACAACTGAACTGTTCATTACTGTTAATGAATTTAAACAGATTCTCAAAAGTTTCTAATTTCAAAACAAGAATAATTTGTAAGAATAAGTAATACACAAAATCCATCCATAAATGGTCAAACTGTTGTAGAGGGCTATTATTGTTTTGTTGATTTTTCACAAGCACATCTAAAAAGTGTTTTTGGCCAAAGTTAATTCTGCAAGATGGACAGCATGTAGAGGGATAGGCATACCATGGCAAATGATCTTTTATGACATGGCGCTTAACATGCGTAAATTTTGCCATACAGATTGGGCACGGTTTCCCTCTTTTACTGGTAGTCGAACCAGGCACCCTAGATGGAGGACTGAGTAGTTGATCATACTCGGGTTCATAATCAGGAACGAAGTCCCTTTCTTCTTCCATTCTAACTAAATAAAACACTGAATATATTCACAAGTGTATTTTTATACTCAGTCAATACCTATTATTTATATACATATATACATGTATTTTTTTTTTTTTAGAATAAGTATCCTTACTTATTACATATTATAGATAAAATATCTAGGCTGAGTCTGTAAGCCAAGCTACATATGTCATAAAATATATATATATTACAATAAAACATTAATATATTGGCAAATTAATCATCAAGATCATAATCAGCCAAATATCTAGGTTTTCTCCTATTTCTCTCTGGTTTGTTTTTAGAACTATCTGAGACATCACAAGACAATGGTATCAGAGTATCCGACTCCACTATCTGTTGATCTCCAGACAATTCTTCACTATCATCATAAAAATTATTTTCTTGTGCATTAAAAAGTTCTGAAAGGTTGAACACATTGTCAAAATCAGTTTCTTGAACAGAGCTATCCTCAACATCACATTTTTTAAGAATTTGATTTCTTAACCGGGGTAACCATACAGGATGGTTTCGATCTTGACAAAGCTTAATTCTGTCATGATGAATAACTTCTTCTCTTTTTCTGTTTTTTATTTTATACAAAACAGGGGATTTAACTTCTGAAATGATGTAAGGGCCTTTCCAAGGGGATTTTAATTTTGGACTTTGGCCAACAGTTGTGGCTGAATTCAATTTATATACAACATCCCCTATCTGATATGTACTTTGAAAAGATTTCAAGTCATAATCTCTTTTATGTCTTTGTTGTGAAGATTTGAGATTATCTCTGGCTTCTTTGTGGATAAGTTCTAAATTTGATCTTAATTTTGAAACATATTCATTTGTATCTGTTTCTTTTGTATTGATTGTTGTACCAAGAAATATGTCTAAGGGTTGTATAACATCCCTTCCTAACATCATTTGATTTGGTGTAAACCCCGTTTGTCTATTCTTTGTAGCTCTAATTGCTCCTACCAGTTGTTGTAAATATGAGTCCCAGGTATCTTGTTTGTTTTTTATGTAGCACCTTAAAGCTTGTAAAATTGTTCTATTATATCTTTCTATCTGACCATTTGAAGCTGGGTGATATGGGGTAGTTCTCGTTTTAGCGATTTGTAAAAGATCACAGATATTTCGCAAGATATTACCATCCATATTTTTACCTTGGTCAGTGTGTAATCCTAAAGGACAACCCAGTCTACAAATGAAATTATCTACAAATGTCTTAGCTATAAGCTCAGCTTTTTGATTTGGTAAAGGGAAACATTCGACCCACTTTGTAAATTGGTCTATGATCATTAAAATGTATTTGTTTCCTAATTTTGTTTCAGGTAAGGGACCTAAAATGTCCATATGAACTCTTTCCATTGGGACACCAGAATGATACTGCCCTAATTGTCCTCCAGCTTTAACATTTGGTTTTTTGTTTTTATTGCAAATTTCACATGATCTTACATATTCCTTACAGTCAGTATACATATTATACCATATAGCACATTTCTTTAGTTTTTCTATTGTATTTGTTTGCCCTAAATGCCCTGAAAGAGGAATATCATGACACAATTCTAGTACTTTTTGTTTCAGACTTTTTGGAACTACATAAAGTAATCTCGGCATAATAGGATCTTCCCACAAATAATACAGGATATCATTTTTTATTTGTAGCTGTGATCTACATAATCAAAAGTGTCTAATGGTCTTACTAGACAGCTGGAGTTCTTGAATGGATGGTTCATATTTGTTTTTCAACCATAATACAATTTGACTTATATCTGGATCTTGTTCTTGTGCATTTTTTATTTCATCATTATCTAATAATAAGCTTGTATACTGATCTAAATCTGAACTTGTTTTTGTTGATCTTAATGATATGGGAACTACATAATCTATATCCTCTTCAAAAGTTTCCCATTGTTTTCTAGCTCTAGTACAAAAAGTACAACCTCCACATGGAAGAGAATTTAGTGGAATATTTGCTTTATAGTCATTACATGATGGTACTGGATCAGGAATTTTAGACAATGCATCTGCATTTTGATGATGTTTACCAGATCTGTGTTGAATGACCATATTATATTGTGCTAATTCTTCTAACCATCTAGCTAGCTGACCCTGAATGTTTTTAAAATTCATCAACCAAATCAGACTGTTATGATCTGTTCTAATTACAAAAGGTCTTCCTAATAAATAATGTCTGAATTGTCTGGTGAAAACAACAATAGATAATAGTTCTTTTCTTGTTGTGCAATACTTGCGTTGTTCTGGTGTTAAAACTTAACTTGCAAATGAAATAGTTTTTTCTACACCATCTTGAATTTGACTTAATTCCGCTCCTATACTCTTATCTGAAGCGTCAGTATCTAATATAAAAGTCTCGTCAGGATCTGGGTGGTTTAATATTGCGGCATTTAACAGAGAATCTTTCAATTTATCAAATGTCTATTGATGTTCATCTAGCCAATTGAATTCTGAATGCTTATTGACTAAATGGTGAAGTGGTTCAACAATGTTAGCAAAATGGTCAACATGTTCTCTATGATAATTTGCAAAACCAAGAAATGATTCCAATTCTTTAACATTTGTTGGAACTGGCCAATTTTTCATTGTTGTGATATTTTCAGGAGTAATCATAATCCCTTTTCCATTCACAATTTTACATAAGAATTTAACTTCTTTCTGAAAAAATTGGCATTTCTTTGGTTTAAGTTTGAGATTGTATTGCTTAAATCTTGATAGTACATGCTCTAGATTTTTAAGATGATCTTCAAAGTTAAAGCCTAGAACCAATATGTCATCTAAATATGCTAAACACTCTGTTCATGTTAAACCCTGAAGAACTAATTGAATAACTCTACTGAATGTAGCAGGGCTATTACACAGACCAAATGGTAGCCTATTATGTTCAAACAAACCATATTTAGTTATGAAAGCAGTCTTATGTTTGTCATCTTTATGTACAGAGATGTTCCAATATGCTGCTTGCATGTCCAGAGTACTCAAAAAATTACTCCCCTTCAATGAATCTATGCAGTCAGTGATGTTTGGTAAAGGGAAAGCATCTTTAGTTGTAACTTTGTTCAATGATCTAAAATCTATGCAGTATCTTAGACTACCATCTTTTTTCCTAACTAGTACTGGAGATGAAGCCCACTCGGAAGAAGAAGGTTCTATGATACCCTTCTCTAACATTTGATCTAAATGCTCTTTTTCTTCCTCCTCAAAACATAAGGGTGTTCTTCTTAATTTTTGTCTAACTGGTTTAGCATCACCTGTATCAATTCTATGTTGAATATCCCCATTGAATAAACCCATGTCAAAATCATTTTTTGCAAAACATCTTGAAATGAAATAATGAATTTTGCAAACAGGATACTTTGTTCTGTTGACAGATTTTTAATTGATCTTTCAAACATTTCAGTCAAATGTTTTGATATTTCTTGTCTAATCTGATATAAACTTAGATTTTCAATACCTAATTTTCTGATATTTAGAAGATCTTCAATACCTAATGACTGTGATCTTTCATAGTCCAAAACCTTGTCTAACTGTATACCAAAACCCACGTCAAAGTTTTTCTTAATAGTTTTATAAGTGTCTGTGGGGTTTCTCAATAAAATAAAATTTTGATCTTTGCTATTTACACAATTGGGTGACAAAAGACCATGAAGATTGTAACATGGATTTATAGCAATGTCAGATTCTGGGGTAATGTCATAATCTATTTCAGAATAAATATAAGCATGTGGGGGAACCACCACTTTCTTTTTTGTGTGTATTCTGAAAATTTTGACTTTTTCTTTGTCCTCATTTGCGATACATTTTGCATGTATTTTACAATTTTTTATTGTTACTGAAAAATCCTGTAAATTTATAGTTGCCTTAGTATGTTCTAAAAAATCAAGGCCTATAATTATTGGATCTGACACCTTAGCCACTACAAAATTCCATTTTGTTCTGATATTTCCTATTGATAAGGGTACACTTTGACATATGACAGAATCTACCTTGGTATTACTTATACCCTTTAAGGAAACATGGTCGGTAAGTTGAGGACTTGGATTCAGTTTTTTATAGAGTTCACAGTTTATGATGGACACCTGAGCTGCAGTATCTAAAACAGCTTCTGTACTAATGTTCTGAACTCTTATTGGTAGATAGAGTGTCTTATATTTCATGGATCTATCTTGTGTTAATTCGATTTCTTTTATGTTTGATTTAAATTTAGTGTGTGGTTGAGGTCTTTGTGTGTTTGTACGAGCTAAGGAATGACCTATTTCCTCAGCTCTTGAAAGTTGAAATTGACAGCTTTTTGTGTTGGTGAGGGTGATCTTGATTTTGATTTCTAACAATTTCTAGCAAAATGTCCCATTTTACCACACACATAGCACTCGCTCTCACTCTCTGACCTTACAGGACTATTTGATGGAAATCTTTTTGGTGATGCATATCTTGGTCCTGATGCATTCAACGATCTTTGTGGTGATGTATACCTTGACGTTGACCTTGATGTTGATGTATATGTCCTTTTTGGTGACTGAAATCTTGGTCTGGGTTGTCTTTCTTCATCGGGCACTGGCAATACTCTCAAAATTTCCTTTAGCAGTCTAGTTGTTTCCCTGCTCTCTTTTTCTAAAGCTGAAATTCTTGATTCTAATGAAGGCTTTGGTGGTGATGGACTCCTTGCCATTCGAATACTGATGTCTTTGGATGGACTATCGTCAGATTTCATGTTCTCAAATGTAACGCTTTTGATGTCTTTCTTTGGGCCCATTATTAATTTTTGATTGGTGATGGAACTTTTCATGTAGTTAATTGCCTGGTTCAGAGTTTGTGGACCTTTATCAAGAGTGACCAATGCAGCCCGTTTCTCTGTACAGCCTCGAAGAAAAGCATCGACGGTGATGGTGTTTTTGAAGAATTCAGGGGTCTCTGGATATCCTTCAGCAGCAAGTTCTTCAATGCGCTCCGTAAATTCTTCAATCGTTTCTTCTGGATTTTGTTTAATCTCTTGTAGCTGTCTTCGAATAATGTGTGGCTGGTCCTTCTTATCAAATCGTTCTTTCAATTTCTGACAGAGCAATTTGTAATCTTGTTGTACGTTTTCAGGTCTTGAACTATAAAACTTTAATGCTTTGTCTCTCAAACATTCAATCAGCTTATCTAATTTGTCTGAGTCATTCCATTTGTACTTTTTAGCGATGTGATTGAATTGAGTGAAATATGGTCTCCATTCTGATTTACCATCATACGTAGCAAGTTTTGGGGGTGCTGGACTGGAAACTGTGTTTTTCTTGTCTTTTGGTTTTTCAACACTAGATTCGTTCTTACGATTTTAAATATTATGTGGGGCAAATTTTTCTGTTCTTGATGTAAAGCGTTGATGTTCTAATTCTGCTTTCATTTGGTTCAATTCTTTTTCTCTTTTCACAATCTCCCTTTCTCTTTCATCCATCTCTCTCATTCTTGATCTTAAATGTTCTTCTCTTTCAGCACGCTCTTGCTCTTCTAATGCTCTTATTTTTTGTTTTTGTTCATCAAATCTCTCATACTGATCATTTAGTTCTTGTTCTCTTAAATTAACTTTCTTTTGTAAATCTTCAAACATGCCATCGTACTTCTCTCTATTAACGACCAAACTTCTCTGTAACATTGAAACTTCCTCTTCACTATTCTCAAGACGGACAGTTTTCTCTTGTAACAATTGATCTTTTTCTCCTATTTCCTTCTCTCTCTCCATGATCACATTTTCTCTCTCTCTGATCTGATGTTCTCTCGTTCTGATCTGATGTTCTCTCTCTCTTAACTCTCTTTGTAAATGTTCTATTTGTTGGTATAAGTTTTCTTGTGATTGCATTGTCTGTACATGCTCTATTGATTCTGTTTGAATTTGTGATCTGTCTTGTGATTTTCCTACTTGTCCAGTGATCTGTGTGGACAAAGTACCATAAAGTTGAAGGGACAATTATTTTACCCTGATCGACAAGAGGGTCCCAGATATTACTTGGGATACTAGGGATTACCTTAAGATCTTCTAATGTAAGGGTTCCCTTATTTAATCGTGCATCTACAATTGCCCGTGCTCTTACTTTACCTATATTGTTTATCCTCACAAGATCTTCAACAGAGGCTGTGTTCATATCTATAGGGGTAGTCATGATCTTGATCTTATTTACCCACTAAATTAGCCTACTTAATAACTATTAAATGATCTTAAATGATGTGTTTGACTAAATCATCAGACACTCCGACGAAATAGTCATGCAATTGTATGAGATGCAAAAAACATGTTGTTGTAGGCTAAGAAGAAATAAGTAAAAATTGAAAATTGAAAAATAATGACAAAGGATCTTATAAAATACTAACACTATTTATTCAATGCATCCTGATCTTATTTAGGCGAACAAAGAATTTATTTTTTTAAAATGGCGCCAAAATTCACGATCTTTTGTGCGGGGTATTCGATTAAAATCTACAACCACTTCTGACACCAATGTTGTGTTAATATTTAGACATAAATAAATACAATAACTTAAGAATGAATAACCAATAGATGAGTCAATAACTCACCAAAGATCTGAGTTATCGGATCTCACAGGCCGTATAATACGTCTGGACTCTGCAAGGTCTAGGGAGTAACTACTGAAAACTATTTACATTCTATTTATATACATTATAAGGATCCCGATCATAAATACGTTGTACATCACTACACATATCAGATATAATAATGAGAAGGCGACGATACATGATCCTTATTGGATAAACGATCCATCTAAGACAGAGGAGTCGGGTTGTAATAATCTCTAAGCTCATTTAGGCAAAAATCTTCTTATCCGCCCATCCTATTGGCATTCGTGAAAAAATGGTCTATTCTTGTTACCAAAAAATAACCTCAATTGTACGAAATATAAGGCTCGGAAAAAACTTTTAGCTGCTGTGAATAGTACATTTCGGAGCATGTCACGTGACCGCCTGGACCGTGTGTTTCGTAGGTAGAACGGTGGTAGATGTGAATTAAAACCGGAGGGGACAACTTCAAAAATGACAAACACTGAAATCTAATTCTATTTCATATACACGAGAAGGAAAATTGTTCCTGTGGTCTTCAACTCAACATTTAGATATATAGACGACGTATTATTAATTAACAATTTATAGTTATTTCCATTCATATGTCGACACGGTATAACACAGTGAGCTTGAAATTAAAGATACCACAGAGTCCGACACATCTGTTTCATATTTGGATATTTTGCAAAAAAGACGTTAATGGTTACCTAACAGCAAAGCTTTATGATAATCGTGATGGCTCTAACTTTTCAATCGCCACGCAGCTAGGTTAAGGACTTCCATATATACGTCAGCCTATGCAGAGGTTCGGTAAAACTATTATGACTTCACGTTTAAACAATACAAATGAATCTCGATGAATAAATACTATATGTTCTTTTCAAAACACAATAAATACTTTCGTTTATTATAAATATTATAAAGATAAATGGATGTGCAACTTATCTTGTCATAATAGCACTTAGCGTATGTAGAATGAAAGCCAGCTTGATCTCGCTGTACTTACTGAGATGACGTCATTTCTTAGTTTGACACGCAGTTTCTCTGTACTTGAGGCGTGGATCAAGCTTTTATCGTAGCTTGTAAAAATAAAAATAAGTACGAAACACGCGTAGTGGGACCAAACGAGAGAAATATTCAGAAATATATTAATCCACATTTTATTGTCAAACTAAATTGATAATGTGTAGACTTTATATAAAGCCGTAGGGAGCACATTTGCACAGAAATCTGCTAGAATGACAGGTCCAGCCCCTCGAAAATACCAAAAGTTCAACGATATCCGCTTCATTATAAATTCTGAATCTTTAAACACGTGTAGCTATTATTCCTACTATTCTGAAAAGTGCTGGGAGCTGGTTCTGCATTGTTAATTTATTCCGTAATATAACATTATTCCAATGCGAATTACATTTTTGACTGAAGTTTATAGAAAGACGGCTAAATTTTAAACAATTCCCGAGCATGGGGAAGTTGCTCCCAGCACTTTTCGTGTTAAGGAATTTGTCTTAAAGAAAACAGAATAAATTTTATAGCTGAAAAATGCCCGTATATCGTTGAACTTTTACGTTCTTTGTAGTAGTACATATATGTTCTAATTTTAAAACTGTCACGTGACAAACAGCTGATGTAAGCGATGTCGCTTTGGCCGAACTCAGCAGAGACCCGATATATACAAGTGCGAACACCATAAATCACATTTATCAAAACTAATGCTGTTAAAAAAAACATTAAAATTGTATTCATTTTCCCTTAATATATTAAGGCGTATATTTCATGGGCGTCCTTAACCTAGCTGCGCAACTTTCCTTACTTAAGTAGCAATATACCCTTATCACCTGTATATATATCTCTCAATTGATTCGATACTCAAAAGCATGCTCTACGTATAAATAGTTTCTAAACCGAGGTAAGCTATTGACAAACAAGTTGATGAAACAAGAATATCAACAATCTCGTTTAAAGTCGTCATTTCGTAAGTTCTATGGTCGATACAATGACCTTGTCAGCACATGCAATCTATTATTAAGTCAAATGCTGACTGACGTTTTTCACACTAATTGTAAGCCCATTATTTTCACACTGAATTGCCTCCGGATTTATTCGTTATTCCCTATAATGACAAGGAGTACACGGCGGGTGTGACAGGTCGGCAGGAAATGTTAACTCCTCCATGGCACCTGATCCCATCTCTGTTTTAGAGGTCCGTGTTTCCCCTGCTCCTGATTTGTATCGTTTGAATGGATTTTTGACCTTGAATAATGTTCGTTATCTCCATATATTTCATTTTATAGAATTAATTCAATTAGTTCGCTAACTTTTGATCACCCTTCGTAAAATTGAATTTGAATTACCATTTCTTTGCTGGGTTCCTTAACAACATACGAATCCTTACAAACAAAGATATAAAAAAAAATTTAACTAAACCTATTTACTTCTCAGAAAATATCATCAGCAACGAAGAAAAAACTTCAGGACTACTGTACAGCGATTTATTTGAGAAATGGGGTAATTAGATGTTGCTACTTCAGAATCCCATGGAACTTTCAGAAATTAAATAGACCCCAATATTTTAGGAATTTCAAAAAGCATCAAACGATACGACTTTTCAACACATTATTCACTTTCAGAAAAATTAAAAGTCCCGGCTTTTTGCCCTATTAGACAGCTCCGTTTTCAATAATAAAAAAAAAAGAAACACGTAAATTTACTTACCATGACATTCGCCATTTTGCAAAATTATTTTATTATTCAACCATTCCTTAGGATAGGCGTTTTGATATCAGATACAAGTGCCTCTTCAGTTAATACTGAAGCTGGAAATTTTCCTATCTTAGCTTGTGATGGGTCATCTACAGGCTTACTTTGTAGAAAAAACATCAATCTGATTTATACACACAAGTACTCTGATGTGGATATTAAAAATTCTTGAGTTCTTCATTGACAACATGTACTCTTCGGACACTTGCTCCTCCAAAATAGGCAACTGATCCACCTTTGATGTTGACGGGGGTTCGTGTTTTTTGTCCTCCTCGCGTGTGTTGTTTGTAGATTTTTTCATTAATTAGATATTTCACAGGATTTTATAAATCAACAATGTTCAATATCAATATATCCCTTTGAACTCGAAATAAAAGACACCACAGAGTCGGGCACATCTGTTTCATCTTTGAATATTTAACTAGAAAAACAATTTATTGTCAACCTAACAGCAAAAGTTTTGCATCGCAAAGCTTTTGATTATTGAAATGCCTGCTCTGCCGATTTACGGATTTTTCCGTTTGTTCGATCATGACAAGGAGCACATAGTACTCGACAGTTTGACCATGCAGCCGAAAGAGAATTGCTTACTCTTCCATTGCACCTGGTCCAACATTGGTGTTTTAAGAGGTCCATGTATGCTCTGCTCCAAATTTGTAGTGTTCCAATAGATTTTTGAGCATGATTACTCTTCGAAATATTCTTATTTCAGCCAATTATGACAATAAACCGCTTTCTATTTATGAATACCAAAATACCATAGATGAATTTGTATTCATCTATTTGCTATGGTGAAAACTTTGATTCCCTGAAACAGACACCAAGGACACAGATTAATCAACAAATTTCAGATAAGTTTGGAGGGTGATTTTATTTAAAAACGAAACCTTATTTCCAATTGATATGAATATGCATACTGCATGATACTGAAACACCCTTATTGTTTATAACAGCTTAAATACTCCTGAAAGGCAAAATTGTATTAAATACATATAAATATGAATGTACATGCTACGTATATTTTTCTTTCAATAAAGATATAGCTCAACAAGGACAGAGACTTTAATGTTGCACAAGTTTTACTGCCGATATTGAATAAAAGTTTTAAATAGCACATTCCGTCGGTCTTCTTTTTTTGACAATGAGAGCTATGTATATCTAGTTAAATGAAATTTAAAATCTTGAAAAGAATTGTCAAAGTTTGGGATTTAGAGCGGAAAAAAACTTTGCAGTATAGTTTTAAAAATCCTGATTTAACTGCGCAGTACTGAAATTTACATTGTTTCGAAAGAATTTAACCTTATCAATAATTCCCGAGATTCTAATGCTAGCCTGATCAGATTGCCTTCTTTTACAGAACAGTATTGTGTACATATGATACGTGACCAAGGGATACAAGACCTTTCATTCAGAGACAATTTAATAGGTTAGAAGTTAAGTTCAAATTATGGTATTTTCTTACCAAGTGGAAACACGTTTTTAAAGTGCCATGTATTTCAGTCTCCAACCTTCTACAGATTTGGAATGTAAAAAAAGAAAGCGCTTTTTCATTGAGGTCAAGAAGTTAGAATTCACAGCACAGTTATGGATACGATTTTTAGAGTACCATTTGTTTTTCTCAAACTTCCAAAAGATTGAGCAAATGATCATGGATGCAAAGTTTCTTTATTTACAGGTCAAAATGTCGGTCAAATGTGAGGTTAAGGTCAGAGTTAAAGGTATTTTTACCAATGTTTTCGACTCTACAGTGTATGTGTTCCCTACCTTTTGAACATTCAACTTTGTCTTTATTATCAAGCACACTGCATAGTAGTTAATTACTAAA